GTTCCCCGAATTAAGCCTGAGTGCCTTCCAATTCCCCCCCCCCCAGGCGCTGTATAATCCTCCTGGTTTAGCGCTTCCCCTTGATTATAATAATAATAATTGGAAGCTACGTGGTGTCCCATAGCTCGGTTGGTAGCACACTCAGCCACACATTGAGGTCCTTGGTTCGATCCCCGGTACGGGTGTTCCTCTTCACCTAGCCGTAAATTATTATCTGGCTGTCAGCCGATTGGTGTGGGTCATATCCTGGGGACAAAATTAACCAAATTAGCCTGAAATGCTCTGCATAACCAGGGGCTTTTTATATAGGATATCATCGATGTCAGTAAGGTCTTGTATCATGTACTTGTAGAAATAAAGATTATTATTGTTATTATTATTATTATTTCCAGGATACTGGGAACTATTTCAATAACCTCGATCATTGAACACCTTAAATTTATACATGCATACATATGCACATGTATGCATATGCAAAAGTGTACATACGTACATATATGCACAGGCACTCAGAGTACATACACATATATATTTTTACATATTGCTACAATGAAATATTATCACTGTCTTGCATTATTGCTTATACTTGCGTTGAGGTAGAGGGTGTTAGGCTAGTGGAACACGGGGATGGCTTTCTTGCATCACGCAGCTTCCTAAACGCATCTGGTTCTTTTTTTGTGTTCTAAATGATATTATACTGCATAAATACTGTGCTGAATATGTTTAATTTTAAATTCACAAAAGTATTTATCTGATAAACCTACAATTGACAGGTGATGGCTGTCTTACCTTACCATATTGGTGATTATAAGGAGATATAAAGAGAACTTTGACTGGAGGCTGAACTTGAATTATCTAAGCATCATATTTCAAGGAAGACATGGCATCGTGAGTATATTCATTTTTAACCATGCATGGTGTATTATATAGATAAAAAATATTATTGTAATTTTTCATAAAATACTGAGACGACTAACCAGAATTTGTATTTCTTTTAAATAATGTTACAAGAGTTGTTAATTGGAACATTGCTTCAGTTATACCTGAACTAGTGTCACAGTTGATGCTTCAGTTATACCTGAACTAGTCTCACAGTTGATGCTTCAGTTATACCTGAACTAGTCTCACAGTTGATGCTTCAGTTATACCTGAACTAGTCTCACAGTTGATGCTTCAGTTATACCTGAACTAGTGTCACAGTTGATGCTTCAGTTATACCTGAACTAGTGTCACAGTTGATGCTTCAGTTATACCTGAACTAGTGTCACAGTTGATGCTTCAGTTATACCTGAACTAGTGTCACAGTTGATGCTTCAGTTATACCTGAACTAGTGTCACAGTTGATGCTTCAGTTATACCTGAACTAGTGTCACAGTTGATGCTTCAGTTATACCTGAACTAGTGTCACAGTTGATGCTTCAGTTATACCTGAACTAGTGTCACAGTTGATGCTTCAGTTATACCTGAACTAGTCTCACAGTTGATGCTTCAGTTATACCTGAACTAGTCTCACAGTTGATGCTTCAGTTATACCTGAACTAGTCTCACAGTTGATGCTTCAGTTATACCTGAACTAGTCTCACAGTTGATGCTTCAGTTATACCTGAACTAGTGTCACAGTTGATGCTTCAGTTATACCTGAACTAGTGTCACAGTTGATGCTTCAGTTATACCTGAACTAGTGTCACAGTTGATGCTTCAGTTATACCTGAACTAGTGTCACAGTTGATGCTTCAGTTATACCTGAACTAGTCTCACAGTTGATGCTTCAGTTATACCTGAACTAGTCTCACAGTTGATGCTTCAGTTATACCTGAACTAGTCTCACAGTTGATGCTTCAGTTATACCTGAACTAGTCTCACAGCCGATGTTTAAAATTTGTTAAGTATGTGAATATAATTTTCCATAGAGGTTGTGTCCTCCTTGCTTGCCAGCAATTACTGAAGGTTATTACTGGTAGCCGAAGTTTTGACCTGTTGTCTGGTTGTCGACAAGTAACAGAACAATTATTAGTAATTATTTTGGTGAGTGAATGAAAAGTCATTGGGGAATATTTACAGCTTATAAATTTATTTTTAAGTACTGTATATTTTATTGTTCATTGAGTATCAGTGCTAAATAGTTTTAGTTAATTATTGTAGTACTAATTTATGTACTTCACTATGAATGACACTCCACAAAACATTGCATTGGATGACCATATTGCATTTCACAATACAGTATGTCACTATCACAGTGTACTGCACCATCACAGTAGCTTATTATTTAATGACGTCATTTCCTATGGCAGAATCATCAGTGATTACTTACCACCATGACTGTCTCCATGACTGCTCGATCCTCGGTCTTGACAGTTTCTGACTAACTTTCTTCCTAGCCTGACATTCTAGCCATGTTACTGATGGCGACTCATAACATTAGCATCTACTTTCAGAAAATTATATGGAAGTGATATCGTTTAGTACTGTAAGTAGAATATATTTGGTACTACACTGTTTGCTGGAATCCAAATTAGTGTGCTGCACTCGGAAGGAAGGGTGGTACTCGGCTTTATCCGTTCTATACCTGTAAGGTTCCAGTATCCCTGAACAACATAAAGGTCAAATCTCTTTCTGTCTTCTGTTTGATTGTCGAATGTCCTGGAAGTCTCGCATAACCTTTCGCCTGAACCTACATAAAGCTTTAGCCTATTTTTCTTGAGGGCTGATAGACACACCCTTCTTCGCTTATATTCAGCACTGATCTTATCAAACTAGACTACAGAAACCAATTATATTACTCAGCTTCACCCATGCTACTCTAAATTTGATCCTATTCATCGTAAAGGTTTACGGTTGTCTCGGTTATTTTCAATCTTTCCCCACAGAGTGTGTATACCAACGCAGACGCCGTTTTTACAGTATCGCCTTGATACCCAGTGTATGGTAATTTTGTTCGCTTTCACGACCCTTCTGTGCATACAACAGTTACGAATATTGATAAGAATAATTATTTAATCTTCGCCTCTACTGCACCCCTTTCTTATCCGTATTCTAACTCTAATGGCATCCCTTAGTTTACCTCCCTCCTCTCTTTACGTTCACCCTGCAGCTTCCCTACCTCCTTGGGAAGTTCCAAAGATTCATCTTTTGTTCCTCCCTTATTCCATACCCAAAGTTTACTTGTTCACTACAACCTTACCTTCACTTTTTCTTGTACACTTTCAGTCTCACTTTCATACATAGTATAGCAGTGTACACTAATGGTTTTCAATTTCTAGACTGTGTCGAGTATACTACTTTTTTATCCAATAACAATAATCAAAGAACATTTACTAACGTTAGCCAGTATTTTCGCTGCAGAGTTACACGAAATTCTCCTCGTTATCATACATTTTGTGACCATGTCCACCCCTTCATTCATTGTTTTTTGGCACTCAAAGTGGGTTACAATCTATCCGGGAAATCGACTTCCCTCACCCCTTTGTCCTTCACATAAAACGTTGGTTATGTCGCATTTTTAGTAAACACAAGTCTTTTGTTTTTGCTGGATCCCTGGACACGTTGATGTTCAGAGCAATGACCGAGCAGACACACAAACCCTGTGATATTGCCGGCAGCCTCTATCAGTGAGGAGCCTCAAATGCTTGGTAGAACTAAGTGTACACTTCCAAAGGTTTTAATGCAAGCATTTTATATAATCTAAGCATAACATACGACAGAAGTTTTGGGATATGTTAGATAGGTTAGAAGTGGAAGTATCTGGTGCACATGACTGACATATATGAAATACGTACTCTAACCCATACGGCTGTGAAGTTACCACAACTGTTTTTATTTTTTTAGCTTATCGTACTCAGTAAGGTTTTTAACCAGAGAAATTCTTGACTAGATAAGTTCTTAAGTAGAGAAATTCTTAAGTACAGAAATCATTAAGTACAGAAATTCTTAAGTAGAGAAATTCTTAAGGAGAGAAATTCTTAAGTAGAGAAATTCTTAAGGAGAGAAATTCTTAAGTAGAGAAATTCTTAAGGAGAGAAATTCTTAAGTAGAGAAATTCTTAAGTAGAGAAATTCTTAAGTACAGAAATTCTTAAGTAGAGAAATTCTTAAGGAGAGAAATTCTTAAGTAGAGAAATTCTTAAGTAGAGAAATTCTTAAGTACAGAAATTCTTAAGTAGAGAAATTCTTAAGGAGAGAAATTCTTAAGTAGAGAAATTCTTAAGTAGAGAAATTTTTAACTAGAGAAATTCGTAGCTAGAGAATTTCTCTTTATTAATAAAGATTTTGTTTTCAGCCTACTGTAATAGGCTCCAGTGTTTGTCTCCAACATTATTTTTTGAACAATCCGTGTATATAGATTTTTTCCTTTTAAGTTAGCCAAGGTTAAGTTACATTAACTTATAAAAATATCTATTTAATCATAAATAAAAAAAAAAAAAGTCGTGGCACATCTGGCAGCGAGGTGTGTGTGTGTGTGTGTGTGCAAACCCAAGGAACGTTCAACTCTGCACGCGTCTCGTACACGATGAAGATGGGTTGTTAGAGGATATAGTATACACTATTAGGTTATTTAAACAAAAATATATAATTATTATTAAGCATAAGAAGCATATATTTACTTCGAAAATTACCAATAAGAACCTGTAATTACATATAAATTAGTCTGGTAATTATAAAAAAGATAATTAATTACTCTACATATAAGCACTGTTAGGTAAAGTGAAACAAATGTAACTAATGTGTTATTTTATCAAGCCATAGCGGCTTGATAAAGCTCCAGGAGAGCGAAACGTTGCCACAATAAAACGTCACATTAGTTGCACTTGTGTCCTTTTACTTAACATATTGTGGGTAATTCTACCAACGTTATTATAAAATACACATTGCTTATTATATTATCTGGCTTGAAAGTAGAGTAATTTTCATATCTCTTTCCAAATTCCTGATAATAAATTTCTATTAAAATAGATATCAAGCTAAGAGATAATTATAACTGCATTAGAGGAATTTTTTTTATAGACACCCTGAACGAGAGGAGGCATCTATACATCAGGATCATGTTGAGCTGGGATGGATATATGATAGAGCTCAGCAGAAGTACTTTCACTGTGAAGACGCAAATATGATCAAGGCTCGGATGTGTTCTCCTGAATTCAAATTTGAAATCTGGGATCAGGATTTTATTCAATGGGCACTGGAGAACTCACGTGTTTTTGATGGCGCAGGATGGGTACAACAATACGAAACAAAGACTGGTTATGTATATCTAGTAAAGGGAAATAAAGTGATTGAGATGACAGGTGACATTGCACCTCATTATCACGAGTATATTGTCACTTCTCTTAATTTTAAGTGTTATGTTGATATGCTAATCCATTTTCCACATAAGCTAGAACAGAATTTGTTGTCTGACTTGGTAAATTATCTGTATTCTGTGGTTAATGGTGATAACATAAGTTTAATTCCTGAAGAATTATGTAAAGAAGGTGAAGCTTATATCTATCCTCCAGGAAATAAAAGTAAGAACTTCAAATTTATTAAATATGCTTTACAAGAATTTTTACGTCTTTTGACAGAGTCTGAAGTCAGTAAACATCCATATTCCACATATGTAATAAAACCTACTGTATCTATTAATACTTATGCTTCTGCTGTTAAGAATACTAAGAAGGAAATAAAAAACATCAATAAAACAAGCATTCCAAAAACACATCAAAGTGTAGTTAAGAGTTATGACACACTTAGCACACCAGAAGAAGAAAACTCTGATTTTGGAAGCACTAGTAAAGAGCGTTGCAGTCACTGTGAAAATGATTTACAGAAAAACGTTGGAAATTCACAAATGACAGCTGAGAGTCAACTGATGGAATTCTCCCAACAAAGTAAATATATTAATCCAAACAAAAAAAGCGAGAAGTCAGGTAATGAAAACAGTGTAAGTGGTTATAATCTGCGCTCCAAATGTGGATCATCAAAGCGCATGAGCAATTTCCAAGCGCTGAAACAAGTTTTCGAAGGCTCTAAAGACCCTAGCACTGAGCAAGCAGCTTCTTACGATTCTTGTGTTATGTCAGTAAATGAGCCTCTCTTAAACAACAGTGAAAACCTTAATAAACCTAACATCAAAACCAAGAATTCTCATAGCTACCCTTTGGTTAAATCTGCGGAAGATGAAGTTACGCATCAAATCCGGGAAACAAGCAACGCAGAAAGTGACAAAGAAAGAGCAAAAGTGTCAGAAGATGCAATTATGTCAAAATCTGTAGGCGACAAGGTTACTAACCTTTCTCAAGAAATACACAAATCTGAAAGTGGCAAAGCAGAGGCAAAAGTCTCTCATGTTTCAAACATGTGCAATGCACCATTTAAAAGTTATGAAGTAAGCCAGAAAAAAGATGAAGAGGATTTTGGTCTTACTGCAGGCTATCTCAAGCCTGTCAAGGAAGCCTTTGATGAATGTGGAATGATGAGGAAATATTATGGAGTTCATTCAGAGATGAAAGAGAAAACCATAATTCTTCTTGGAGCTTCAGGGAGTGGAAAGACAACACTGGTAAATTTTATTGCTAACTATTTTAAAGGTGTTAAAAGTGCTGATGGTGAGTTGGTACATGTTGTCAGAAACACTAATGATGTAAGGTCATACACAACATCAGTTACAGCTTATACATTTTGTTCTAGCGAGCACGAGAGTCCCATTACTGTAATAGACACTCCGGGGTTAAATGACTCTTCAGGGGCTGAAGTACGAGATCATGTCCAGTCACTTAAAACCTTCTTGGCAAATGCTGCTTCACAAAATTTGGAGATACATGGCATTGGTTTTGTAGCACAAGCTCATTTGGTACGTTTAACGTCATCAGAACGCCTCGTCATGGATTATGTTTCCACACTTTTTGGAGAAGGAATTGAAGACCACTTCTTCACATTTATTACATTTGCAGACAATCTTGAGATGCCACCAGTTGTAGAGGCCATAAAAAATTATGGTGTGAAGTGTAATATATTTTTGAAGTTTAACAATTCTTCTCTCAGTAATAACAAAACCGATGAAATTGATGACTTGGACAGAGTTTACTGGAGAATTGGGAGTAAAAGTTGGAGAAAATGTATGAAATCCCTGCAAAACCTTCCTGCTCTATCAGTCAATATTATAAAATCATTGCAGAGTGAGGTGTATGCATCAACTGTGATTGACTCTGCTGAGAGGGCACTAAGAACTGAAATAAAAACCTTTATTGGTTATATGAAAAGACAAAACTTCATGACAAAAGAGGGAATTCACGTATGTGAAAAAGTTTGGGAGTTAGCAGCAATTGTTCACCATTTCAGATCTACTCATTTATCTGACTCTAACAATGTCGAAGACATTTTAGCGCATTTTGCTGAAGAAGTTTGCAAAGATAATGGAATTGCTCATTATTATTGCATGAAGCTTCTTTCTCTTGCTCCATCAAGAATTTTATTAAATGCTGGAATTGGAATCATACAGAGCACTGCAACTATATACAGAGAGGCTTCAGAATCACTGAATAAACGAAGGACACCTTCAAGTATAGCTCTAGAATATTTATACTGTCACAAATGCGATAAACATCATGAGTTGAGGAGAACAGAAACCACTACAAAAAGAAATGGTCACTGTATACGCCAAATGCAGCAGTTATTACTTATAAGTGTACTGAATGTGAATGTGATGCGGATATACATGGCGAAAAGCCATTTGGTGAAGATCCTCCCGAAGAATATTTGATTTCTAATAATGATAACTTAAACACATTACTTGAGCACACAGGAGAATGCATCACTAAGGTAATAAAAGATTTTTCCACTTCAGAATATTTGCTAGATAAAGATTATTATCTGAATGTAATCAATGAAGTCACAGGTCAGCAATATGGTGAGCTTATTCACGACCTTCTACAGTTCCATTAGTATGAATGTTACTAAGTATTTGAGTAAGAATAGAGCTGATTAAACTGCAATCAACTGATGATTGAAATGTAATCAATTATTGTTAAAAAATGGTTATAATTTTGACTATAATTTTTAAAGGGGTGGACCGGTAAGCCAGAGGAAGGCCTCGGTCAGATGACCATAAGCGGGTCATCAGCAGCTAAGACCCGAGTCAGGAAACACCTGCTCTGTTTCCTGACAAACCTAACCTGACCTTTAATCAATTAGAATATTATTTTTAATTTGAAAGAGCGGAGGCATGTTCCTCATGTCCCATAGTTTAATAAATAACTAACTCCTCTTGGATCCCACAAGAATATCGTATCACATTACTTGTCAAGATTTATATTTTTGTCTTTGTATTGTTTTTAAGTAGTTTGAGTTTATAACCTCTCGTTCTTCCATGAGACTTTAAGTAGGTCAGACAATTAAAAGTTTACAATGGTCTTTATATACAAAAGTTTGAGGAACAGTATGTTTTTGTAATGCCTTTCTCAATGCATAATTCGTATTTTCTGCTCAATACTGAAAAATATATTGACGTATTCATTTTTGTTTATTTGCTAACGTTTGCCAATGCATTATCAGTAATGTTAACTAACATAAAGAAGGCATTTTAGTAAATTATATTACTGGCTGTAATTTAATAAGACTCAATATTGTTATTAAAAAGAATGCAAAAGCCTCAGTTTCTCAGAACAATAGTGATTTAAGATGTGTAGACAATCTTTAAATACCTGGTGACTAATTGTTGATGCTCTGCTAGTGTCTGACCTGCTAACTTACAAAGTTAAGATTCTGAGTATAAAATTTTGTGGAGGGAGATGAAAGAAAAGTTGATCAATCAGGTGAGCAGAATTTACCCTGCATAGTTCAGTACCAATAAATAAATCTACAAGTTTCTTTTTTTTTAGTTATATTACTTTGCACATTCAGTGTTGCCTGTTTTCATATATTATGCTTTACAATACCAGTGTTTTCAGCTTTTTTTCATAATTCTAGTTTTTGAAAATCCAGTTATTTACATATTTATTTTATCTCCATTTTTAAGGAGAGGACACTGTACCTTTCATGAGTTCCGAGAGTTTTCTACTCTGTACTAGCCACATATTATAATTTTGGTCTAATATAGTATAATGAGAATTGTTTACAGAACTTAAAGTAGTTGAAAGCTTTTTTGAAGTTTCTCAGCATTTAATACATGTATTATGTACAATGGAACCTAGGTAATCGAACTTAATTCGTTCCAGGAGGCTGTTCGAGTACCGAACGAATTTTTCCCATAAGGAATAATGTAAATTTGATTAATCCGTTTCAGACCTCCCAAAATACACTTACAGCGAATTTGCGGTGTATTATCGTATGGTATTTATGATTGTATTCTCGTTTTTTTTATCTCATTTGATAAATGAAAGATATGTTACAGAAAAAGAGATAATTTTGAATGGTTTACAGACTAAAAGTAGCGGAAATTTTCGATTTTTGCTGATGTTCAAGAGTAAACAAATCACGTCACACGTCCAATACACGTTAACTGGTGGGTCTAATATGCTTTCACAAATGCGCTGATATTATTTATACCATTTTTCAATAATGCATTAGTCTGTATAACAGTAAATCTTCTATTTTTTGTGTGAATAAAAATTCAAAATGGAAAGTAAGCCTAATATAAGAGGGGCCCGAAGTGGGAGGAGCTATAGGAGGGAGAGGGAGGGGCCAGCAGAAGGAGCATTCAGTATCTGATGAGCCATCTTGGTAGCTGGATACTAGCAGTTGCGTGAATCCAGTGTACTGCAATTATGCTAATATTAGTAATTAAGGTTATCTATCTTTTACATGTATTACAACTTGATATCAGAAACACGATAGATCACCTAGAAACACAATAAAGATGCCGAAATTAATAAAAGGCATATTACATGGAGAGGCAGAGGTGTTTACATCAGGGCAAACACACTCTAACCAATTTTCTTTTTGGTTGACTGTTATCACTAATCTTCTTACCGAACAAAGTGTTCGAGTACCGAGTTATTCGAGTACGGAGTTGTTCGAGTACCGAGGTTCCCCTGTAGTCTGAAGTCTCCAAGAAGCCTATGTCTACTTCTACCCAGAAAAAATCTGACAAAAATTCACAACTTTTGTTAGAACTAAACTGAATACTTCCGTAAGGTTTCAGTATAGTGTTCTTACCTAAAGAAATTTGAATAAGTAGTAAGTAAGTAAGTAGTAAGTTTATTCAGGTATACACAAATACAGTTACATAGAATTATCATACATAGCAGCATATGTGTAGAGAACCTAGGATAACCCAAAAAAGTCAGACAGAGTGACTTATTTCCATTGGGGTCCTTTAGATATGAGATATGTATGAGATATACAACACAATGTAGTTCCAGGACTGAGAAATATGAGTTATGTAAAAAAATGAGAGCTATGGAAATGCACTTAAAATGGTGTTTCTGAAGACAGGAATGCAACACGAGACATGTCAGCCACAAACAGTATATGCTTATAAAATAATATAAATAGGTAAACAGCCAGTAGATACACTGAAACCAGTATGAGAAAAAAAAAGGTTAGAATTTCAATTTAAAAGAATAACAATGAAGACAACAAGGTACTTCTCCACTACATTTGCATGGTAACTTAGAAATTAGACATATGTGCACTACTTGGGTACCTTTATCGTGGAAATGTTTCGCCACACAGTGGCTTCATCAGTCCAGTACAAAGAATAGTGAAGATCAAAAGGAGATTGAGGTAATCAGTCCCTCAGCATGTAGTCGATGTTGTATTCTTATCCAGATTGATGGACTGATAACATCGACTCCAGTCTGAGGGACTGATTACCTCATTCTCCTTCTGATCTTCACTATTTTTCTTTGTATTGGACTGATGAAGCCACTGTGTGGCGAAACGTTTCCACAGTAAAGATACCCAAGTGTTGCACATGTGTCTCGTCGGTTCTCTGAACCATTTATCTACATTCCTAGATAGGTTTACGATACAGATATTTGTTGAGACGCCAAGAGTGTTCCTGTGGATCACTCGCCTTCACCCGTCCTGTCCTAACATACTCACATAAGAGTGTACTTCCTGAGTGATTCAACTCCTGCCTCACAATATTTTTTTTACACTCTCCTTCTGACACTCTTTTGTTGCCCTTTGCACTTTCATCCCACCTTCACTCCAGATGAACGCACTCTTTCTAATGACTTCTCTTGCTCTATTCTGCTGGTAGATGGTATGGGAATACCGACATATTGTAGTTGATGAAAACAGTAGTAGTTTCCAATTACTGTTTGTTTCTTTATTAGTTGCTCGATTAACTCTCCCTTTACTTCCTTTTTTTCTGCATTATGCTATGTTCATAGTACTTATTAATCTCAGACATAATATCACCACCTCTAACTTTCTTGCTACACACTCCTATACACAAAAATCAGCATTGCTTCTCTGATACACTCCTAATCTTGCCATTAACATTTTTTTCCAGACTAATTCATCTTGACTTATCTCATCTGTTCATTGGGTTATTCTATCCTTCATAGACCTAACAGGTGATACATCAGCTTCCAAGTATCTGAATACATTTATATCTTCCACATTTCTTCCTTCCATCATGACCTCTAATCCTCCATTCCTATACAATACTTATTATCATCACTTTCCTGTTCTCTACTTTTACTTTCAACTTATGTAAACAGACTTCCAGTCTATTATACCAGTGTTTGAACAAGATGACAAATTGCTGATAATAGTGAATGAGACACGCTTTGCTTGTTCTGGAAAGTGTGTTTTCTTTACTGTACCAGAGTCTACAGTTTGTCTTAGTCTTCCCCAACAGCATTTTGTCATTTGCAAACTAAATTTGTGACAACTTCCACTCGCAAGTCGTTACATTAACTTTTAGGACCACGCCTTTCCCAAATTAATATGTATTAATTTGTCTTTAAAATGAGGGTTCAGTATGAACAAAATTCTATTCATTTAACTAGAAATTGATGATTGAAAGTATTTAAGCTCACGGAAGTACTGTATTATCAAGTCGTGTACACCAGAATCACTATTTCTAGATTTTTGTTTCCTGATTGAAGGTGTATGGTCTATATATTTGTGTGTTGTATCCTGCTGCTGATGTACCATATTGTATTTGATAGTGCATCATGTTAGAATGTTATACAGTACTGGTAAGTTTAGCAAGATAAGTGCGACAATACTTTTTTATTAAACGAAATTGGATACATCAACAGTATACTGCAACAGTTAAGGCACTTAAGTGTCGCACTTTTGTCTTGCTCATCAATATTTCCTAACGTATTACTAATACAGAACCAAGGCTTAGTAACAGATATTTTATTAGTGATACACCATTATTCGTAATTAAAGGCTTGTGAGTGCCTTCAGTCATGTAAAATGTATCACAAACCTTCCATAGTTTCTTCATAGCCTGATTTTCTTTTAATTTTCTTAGGCTGAAGTTCAACGAACTCAGATTTTCTTGACATTTTTCATGCAAATAAACATTACATTTATAATTTCAAAAATCTGAATTGTGAAAGCTGATAAGAGTTCCACAATGTTTAATATTTTTGTATTGATTTCATAATTTACTCCTATCTTCATGTCAATATAATAACCCAAGTTATTTATATTTTACTACACTGTTATATTGAGTGTGTAATAGATACCTGATAGGAAGCATTACAAATAACAAGAGGAAAAGAAAGATATTTTAAAGTAATGTATGTTGAGTAGCGTTGACTTGGCATACCAAGAGTTGTTTCACACATATTGTATCTTGATTTATGTAAGTTATGCAAAATAGATATTTACAAATTGCAGATACTATTATACATGTAACGAGAATAAATGTGAAATTATAGAGTATCCACATTTATTTATAACCTTAATTAAATATTACTAATTTAATTTAGGATGAAAGTTCAGTGACTTTTGACAAATATAAATAAATAAGTTTAGCAAGTAAGTTTATTTAGGCACAGATACACATGATCATCATACATATTAACATATGTGTAAATTAGGATAACCAAAAAGTCAGACAAATTGACTTATTTCCATTGGAGTCCTTGTAAATATTTGAATGATCATCAATAACATATCTAAATAACACGTCACCATATAAAGGTGAAAAATGCATGTTCACATGTATAACTCAGCAGTCTGACGTGGAGTTTTGCTACTCGCTACTCGAGGTTCTAACTCCTTCCCTGGTTTCAGAAGGATTAGCTATTTTTTGGAAAGCACCGAACCTGTAAGGATCATATAGTGCCTGAGGAACAGTAGGTAATCAGATTCGAACTAGCAAATGAGAGAGTAGCTCCAGTACCTTGAATCAAGAATTCACCACCAGCATCGAGGCACCTCTGCGAAGGTATGACAGACGAAGTGCTTTTGTTGATAATGAAAAGTTTTATCAGTTTTTCAGGAGGAAGTGTTTATTAGTGAAGTTCTTCCAGGATGTGTACTCACCTATATTTCGTTGCAGAGGGTCGATTCACAGCTTCTGTGTGGCTTCACCTGTAGACTGTGTCACTCTTGTGTTAAATCAGGAACATTCATTTTGAACTTGGTCGTGAACAACGATGAACGTTAGGTTTGTTAATATGTTAAAAAGTTTCTTGTAGCCAAGCTGACTGCTTGATAATGGCATCCAGGTTTTCGGCTATAATATCCTGACATTTTGTAACTCATTTGTCCCTCATTATATAAAGGCACCGAAACCGAGTGGTCAACTAAGAATAACGATGGCCTGAAGCACACGGTCCCTCGGCAACCAGAAAAATTGACATAAACTGAGAAAAGAAATCCATATGCCACACTATATAACCTGGATGAGCTGGAGGCATGACGAGGTTAAATATACCTCCTGAAGATGTTGATGAACCTAAAATTAATGTCTTCTTGTTACCGAGGCCAGAAGAAGATGCAATTTTGGCTTAAATAGCAACGCTCTTCTTGTCGAATAAGGCAAGCGAAAATTTGAATATGCAATAATTTCGCAAAAGTCATTCTGAACCTAAAGAGAAAAATATATTTCATTGTATTTGTTTATTATTAAATTATAGTAAACTTATCTAAAATATATTTAGGTCAATTAGGTTAAATAAAATTGTGCTTGTTATAATAATGTTAGGTAAGTTTTCTAAGGTTCTTTTGGTACAAAATTATTAATCTTTACATTAAAATAAATGAAAAGAAATATATCTTTATACGTATAAGAGAAAATTTTAGAAAGGACTTAATTTTAAATGAGTTCTGCTAACTGACTAGTTTTACCTATTCGGCACGACATATATATATATATATATATATATATATATATATATATATAATATATATATATATATATATATATATATATATATATATATATATATATATATACTATACACACACAAACACACGTTAAGTTCCCTCTAGTGCATTCCTATTCTGTTAATTTTTATCCATTTTTCATTCTTATCTGTTTTCGTCTATTTTTTTTCACTCTGTTTGTGTTTAGTGAGAGCAGTTTTTATTGTTTTTTACGATCTGTCAATTTACACTAGCTGTAGTAACCTATAGGCATGACCTACATACAACAGTAAGATTTTTCCACTGGTATCTCCGCCTCTTGTTTCAGTCCGCCTGACTGCAGTATATAAGTAACTTCTGCTCGCATATACTGTACATTTCTCAGAGCGATGGACTAAACACATTATTGACTCCAGGCTGAAGGACTGGTTACCTCATATGACATGTCGCTGCATGGTACAAAAGCTAATTTTCATCTCTCATTTCCAAAACTATCAAACTGGTGATGCAAAATAACCATTCTTATATACAAGCAAATGGTATATATTAAAAGTTGATGAATGGCTCAGAGAACCGACAAGTTGATAAAGTAGACACGTGCAACACTTGGGTATCTTTATTGAGGAAACGTTTCGCCACAGAGTGGCTTCATCAGTCCATACAAAGGAGAACGTTGAAGAACTGGAGGAGTTTGAGGTAATCAGTCCCTCAGCCTTGAGTCGATGTGGTCACTCTATCAATCTCGAAAAGAATACAGCATATGTGCATAGAAGTAGCTTATATACCATAGACAGGAGAGGTGCAGCAGTCGTTGGTGGATTCCCCTACGACTGCTGCACCTCTCCTGCCTATGGTATATAAGCTACTTCTACGCACATATGCTG